GGAAAGGGAGCCATGAAGGTAAGCAGAAATGGTTACTGTGCCTGAGAGCAGCCATTACAAGCTTATTCAAATGTCACCTATGTAGCTTCAGGCCAAAGGATTTGCAAGGGAATGGAGTTATGCTCAGTGGCAGAAGCATCTTTGGAGAATTTACAAGCTCAGCTGAAAGAACACCCTGTGGAACATGTGCTGACTGACTACCTAAAAACTGATTTTCATGGAGACGCTAGAAGGCATATTGTACAAGAGTCTCTCCTTGACAAAGCTGAAATTCCTGTTCCCAGGATGTGTGTTTCTGGAATTTTACTGAAAGCGCAGAAAGGACCTAATAAACTATTTTTTTCCTCAGTCTCATTCTTGAAAAAGGCTAACCCAGTGGGACTCATTTCACTTGGATGCAAACATCCAGAATGGAAGTTTTCATCTTGAACCGAAATATCTGCTAAAGTAAAAGCAAATAAAAAAATAAATTGGGAAGTGTCGGGTAACCTTAGCAATAAGAGGGACCAGCTGAGAAGAAGAAAAGTGTTATGGGCCAAGCACCACAAACAGCAACAGCTGTTACTGTTAGTTTCTTTGTGGTTACTCAGAACTGAATCAAGCCTCAGCTGCAAAAGGTGAAGCATTCCAGAATAGGCATTCATATTGAACTTTTTGTGTGTGTGTGAAAAACATTACTTTCCAGGGGTGCGATTAAAGAGAACATTTGCCCATAAATGCTTTGCAATAGGGACTGGTAAATAAAAGTGGATTTGTCATTTGTGTCAGAAGCATTTGTTTTATTGACCCTCTGAAAAAGTTTGCCTACTCATAAGCCCTTGAAAGTTGCAACTTGCATGTGTGTGTGTTAGTTTTTTGGCAGCTAAACTCTCTCCAGAGTTTACGTGTGGTGAACACGCAGATTGTTGTAAGGCTTTGAATGACTGCTACGCTCTGGTGTGAGATCCACCTTCCTTTTCAGAATATGGATCATACTCCTATGTTTGCTGTGTTTCTGCTACTGGGCACATGAGCAAGAAGTTGCTTAACTCAGATGCAGAAGAAATAAGAATTAGAGGACATTGGGGAAACACTGGAAGTTCGGTGCAAAAATACTGTTAAAATATTAGCAAGCGTGCAAAGTTAGATATTTAAAAGCAGAAGTAACATTTCCTGTACAACCAGTAATAATTCAGTTCATTTTACGCCTAGCCATTGGCATTTTGATGAATCATTAAAACACATGTAAAGTGTTATTTTCTCCATAAATTCCCCCCTTCCTCCACTTTTGTTCTGTGCCCAGCATGGATGTGGCCTTGGAACAACACTGGATCATGCATTAAAACAGTTGCTGTGGGCAGGGCTCGTAGCTAATTTTTGCAGAATTTAGACTTACAGTGAATGAGTGAGACAACTGCAGGAAAAGCCAAGGTGATTTTATGGATAATGCAAGAGAGCACTGACCTTTAAGCTAGATTTATTCCTATCTCTACTACAAACTTCCTACATAACGTATAGGCAAATCACTGCCTTAGAACTTCACATGGATATAATCTTCATCTTCTAGATGGCCTAGGATCCAGTTGCAGATTTACTGAACGTTCACAGCTGCAGCTAACATAAACAGAGAGATGCTCTGAGCATAATATAGTCCTTTGTATACAAAGTATTCTGGAGAATTAGGCACTATGTGTCTCAAATTATGCACTCAAAGTTAGTAGCATCTGTGACAATTTCTCAGTGCCTCAAATTTTGCCTGTAAAGTGGAATAATCTGCTCTCCACCTTTCACAGGTATGCTGGTTATTTAAAAAAAAAAAAAGATAACTTTGTGAACTGAATGTGAAATATTGTAGAGCTAAATAGCATGTGAAAAGAGTTACTACATTTGGGGTTCAGAGCAGGGATGAAATAGTATGCTGTAAATATGGAAGAGGGTCATACCGTAGACAGTACATTCTAAAATATTTAATAGCCAATCATTCAGTGTGCGCTACCCAGCCTATGTATTGTACAAGTCCTATGGAAATATAGCATGTTATTAACATCATAGTAAGACTTTATTATTTCTACAGAGAGCCAAATTTAGGAACCGAATTAAGAGAGCAACCTTAATTCATTGTCTAATTTCTGAATGCTTCACTTGGTGGTCATGATGTTCCAGTAAAATAAAGACAGGAAGTTAAAAGTGGGAGTAAACAGCCCGATTTATTTCCCCATGCAAAACCAACTCATTTGTTTCCAAAGCAGACCTTTATTTTATAATTTTGGTAGTCTATGAAAAATATTTTCTTCTTCCTAAACATAGTGGAGAGTTCCATGACTGAAAGAGTTTACTATGAATACTAACGTTAAAACTCCGCATATTCACATTTCTGCGTAGAGATTAACTAAATGATCCTCACAGCGATCCTGGGAGATAGGTATGCTATTCCATATATATGCTATGCATCCATTCATCTGGTACAGTCCAGATAGTCCATTGCTTCTTTGCTTCCCAAGAAGTAGCCGTAAATTGCTAAGTGACACTGTGTAGTTCTTCCGCTCGCTACTGCCTTCCCTTCCTCCGCACAACTTTTCTCTGCATTCTTTTAAAAAAGAAAAACAGAGTTTTAGAAACATGAAAGACAAAACCGAAGCACCCAAAAGAAGGAGGTGAAGAAGTGTGCCCTGTATGTGCCATCTCTCTATCTTTTAGTCCTTTATAACAGCATCAAATTTATATTGGTGGTGCCCTGTTCTGAAATTGCCCCTCTGCTGACTGAGGAAAGCCCCATTTGGCAGATCCCCTTTTCCCTGTAATTTCTTCCTTGTCATGCTCCATTTCAATGGCAAGGTCCTGCAGCCATTACATTTCAGAATTTCCCCCGTGCTTCTCCGTTCTTACCGGGGCCACATCAAAGTTTTTGTTTCCTTACTTCCCCACAGATTTTCTTGATTTTGTCAACCTCTAGAGTCCCTCTGTTCTCCTTGCTCCTCCAACATCCTTTCTCAGATCCCTCTGTCTTATTTTGCCTTCCTCCCATGATGCCCTTTCTGGTTTTCTCTCACTTCTGGAACTCTACAGTAGAGCTTTCCTGAAAGCTAGCTCAATATTACAGTATTACTTTCTCCTTTCCAGATTCCTGAGCTCAGCTTCTCTACGTGTGGTTTCTCATCCTTCCGTCACAGCCCCAAGCAGCTCTTCTTTGCTGCAGACCTCCATTAAAATACTAGTCCATTACGTCTCACTTCCTGTGTTACAGCACTTGTTTGCTATGGTCTTCATCTCTATTAAAACAGCTTCCCAGCTTTTTAAACCTTTCTCAAACATCTGTGACCCTTCTTTTTCAGACTCCTCCATTCTTATTCAAACATCTTTTCTTCTTATAGAAGTGGACTTGCTTACACCTCCACAGAGTCAGTTTCAGGATCCTCAATCACTAATGGCTCCTGAAAACATTATTCACTGTCCGATGTTGTAGAGGACCTCTTGGCATCTCACAAGCATGAATCTCTGGCTGGGTGAACCCTTATGACCAAGAGTGCATGGCCCAAAAATGTTTAAGTCAAAAAAGTCTTCCAATATAACAGCCTGACTTAGGTTGTTTTTATTTTCCAGTTGGTCATCTTAGCTATGACTTAGATTGTAGTGATTTAGACAGCTTAGAGGCTTTCATACCCTTCATTCTATGACCAGTAATCCCATCTCTTCCAGAGAAGCTAATGGATTTTTATTACTCCCAGGGAAATATTAATGACACATTTATTTCCTTCTTATTGCCACGTAAACACCTCTGATATCAACCTTTTCAGGTAGACCTGCAGTGAATATCTTCACTTGTGTTTCCCCTTGAATCTAACTTATGTCACAGCTGCATCCTGGGACTCAGGTAAACGTCATTTCAAAGTTTGATTTCAGACCACTGCAGACCATCTCTGTAATGCGGTATCTGTATCTGTATCATTACCCAAGGTATTGTTAGGAAAGAAAAAATTGGCTCTCCTTCCTGAGCCTTTCTCATTAGGAAGAAAGGATGAGTGGCAGACAACTTGACATCGCTAAGATCTGTTTGCCACCCAAACTCGAGACTCCATTACTGTAGCTTAATTTTTTTCCTTCTGTAAGTTCTGAGCAGTTGCATATTCAAAATGTTATGCACCCTGTATGTAACTGAATAAAAATAAGGACGACTTGGCAGCCACACAAACTGCTAATATGGGATTCAATCTGGAGGTGGGGTGGGGGGGCGGTTGGAACAGAATGATTAATGAAAAAAGCTTGAAGAGTGTAGAGATTTTTATTATCACAGTCAGCCTATTTCATGAATCTGTGTTCCTGCAAAAACTTACTATTTACATGAAATAACGCAATACTTATGTAGGCGAGATAAGATTGGGGGAGATTAAAAATCTAGAAATGGTAACTAGGGAATGATAGCCAAAACAATACAACAGAATCCCAAAACAGCCCTCTGATAGCTTAAATGGAGAGGTTGTTCCTAAAAACTTAATTTTAGGCTGCCCATTTTCCCAGAAAATTAAACAACATCATTCACATGAATGCAACTATAAATATTTATAGGATAGGGACTTGTTCATTGAGGACCTCCAGTGATTCCTTGTAGAATTCAAAGTATGAAAAACAACTTTGATCATAGTCCTTAATTTTCCTACCTTTCAATAAAATCCAGACTGTCTATTAATTTGTATTCTAGGAACGTATTACATTTCTACTGCAACTTTGGCTTTGTTAGACTAACCAGTAAAGAAATTGTTCATAAATCTATCAGCACATTTGAAAAAATAGATATAGATTTTATCAGAAATAGAAATAATGTTAACAGTTTATAACTGGGCTGAAACCATCCCAAAAATTTCCTAAAACTCTTATTAGAGAATGAGCAGGATGTGCTTATCTGGGGAACCTGAGAACTTGGGTTCTTCTGTTAAAATCAATTAAATGCTGGACATTGTTTCAATCACCTGCCCTCACCTAACTCCCATTTTCATCTCCTCTCAGTATTTATTACGAATAGCAGTTCAAATGCTCCCTCTTACAATATCTGCATAGAAACTAATCCGTTTTTTTCCCTTAGCGTCTTAATCAGCTTTGCTACGAGAAACAAGCTTTCACTGGAACAATTTCATTAAATACTTCACATTTTAAAGATGGCCATGTTGATATGAACGCAGCCAGTCACGTACATACTGGGACATGGCAGTCGGCGCCACAGGGAGCATAAACTGCAGTTGAGCCTGAAGATTATTGTTCAGGACCCTAATTAAACATGCATGTAAGTCCATGCTTAACGTCAAGCTTTTGAGTAATTCCCCTGACTTCATTAAGACAATCTATGGGACTCCGTGAATTTAGTTTTTATTATAATATATAGAAAAGCATGTTTTCATATAGAAAAGCATGTTTTTTTGAAGTTGTTGTTTTTCCTGCTAACAAGAACTGCGATTTTAATGGGACTGCTCATGTTAACAAGAAGCGGTAAGTGTTTTGCTGAGATAAAAATCTTGACAGCTTCCCAGCATAGTATTTGTATGCTAATGGCAAAGTGACATGAAAGAACTTTCCTTAAGGTGTTTATGAATAATTGTTTACTCTCTGTATTATTCATATAATTCAGATACATATGTCTTATTATATTTTAAAAGTTATGAACACTGCTTAATCCAGAGATCCTGATAAAAAAAGGAAAACAAAAAGCGCTGGTGTTTCTGCAGCACTTCGAACACGAAGAGATGTACTGTTACAAAAAAGCAATGAATAATGTTGTCAGAAGCATACTGTTGTTATACCTCCTACAGGCAATGGAATAGGAAGAGCATTTTCTGGTTAAAAATTTCCAGAACCAACTCTGAAGCTTGCCAGAACATAGACCTGTTTCTCCAAATTTTTCACAATTTTCCTATTTTTCAACGAACAGTCTATCAATATATAAAAGATTTTAAAAAGTGAAATAAAAAGAATTCTCAGCCTCCAGTCAAGTTAATGGCAGCAGTTTTCAGATCCTCAGAAAAGCAGACCAATAGACTATAATCTACTATACTATATTACACTATACTATACTATTATATTATATTTTGTCCATTCATGCCCACTGGGCTTCTCATGTATTCAGAATATGCCTAAATTTGACTTGTGTGCATTGCTACAACTGGTCCTAAATTCTCACCAACTCCCCCTGAAAACCTGGACATATTTTATGATACTTCCACATTGCCTATTAAATTGCTGTTATATTGCCTATCCATGATACTGTTTCTCTTGTTCTTAGTTTTACATTGCCAAAGGTTTACGAGTTGCAGCTATACATTTTTTAAGCTCATGTCAAAAAGTTTATTTTCCCTTTAGTTCAAGTGTATTGTGCCATTACAGGAAGTTCTCTAAAACTGAGGTACATTAAGTTAGGTAGATATTTCTGCTCTCTACAGAGAAACAGAATATAGAAAATACACAGAAAAATCTCAGAGAACCTTAACATTCTCTAGAAACTGCACTATTGACTTTGATTTTATAAAGAAGATACGCATGGCCATACAAAATGTCCTTATAATTTATAACTAATTGGTTTTTTTTTTTTAATCTTACTTCATTGGCTTATGAGCTATGTCTCAGACTAAATTAATAGCTGCTTTTCTTCTCAAGTGACATAGAGGGTCCACAGAGCTGGCTATCCCCAAGCATATAAGGTTTCCACCGAGGACAATACCGTGCTGCTCAGCTCCTCTTCTGCTCTTTCACCTGCATGGTGTGATGCAGCAGAGACCACAACACACCAGACCCTTCCAATTACAAATGCTCCTTCAGGTGGAACCTAAATTAGTGGCCTAATTTGCCTCCTTTTTTTTTTCAACAGGACTTAAAGAAAATGTTTTTCTGAGGCTTTCCTTCTCCTCCACCCCCTACAAATGGGTTTTTCTTCCTGCTAATCAATATATAATTATTTACTCTGAAATCCTATATATAGACTTCATCTTCTCATTGAAAAATTATTGGGTACAAAACATGTCTGTCTGTATTTTTCAGATTTAGCTGATGTTACTGCTATAATTAGGAACACCATTCAAGCCTCGAGGCTCAGTTGAGCCGAACTTTTCACGGGAACATCCCTTGAAAACTGGTCTCAAGGACAAAAAAATTATGCAAAGTAGCCTATTTAACTTGAGCAAATTGACTAGATGCCTTCTCAGCCTTCCAAGCAACATGCTCCTCCGCGAGGAAGGAACTATGCAGAGAATTACGTCTGACGACGTTGCAGAAAACTGTGGAATCAAACTGTCACATTGCTGTAAGCATTGACATGTGTGGATCATAGCAGTACGCTTAAAGTGATAACAATGTTATTGCATCATAACCATAGCGTTTCCTCTCATCTTGAGAGCCAGCCCAGAGCTGCCGCAGGAGAAATTAAAAGAATAGAAATCCAAATATTGAAGCCAGATTCTGATAATGTTTTCTATAATTGCATTTAAACCTTCATGTTATATTCACCATAATTATCTGAAACCAAGTTGCTGCTATTTTACATTTCAATTATCAGAAGTTAAACATATGCTTCAGCGTGCGTGCGTGCATGCATGTGTGGCACAGGGC